AGACATTATTATTCCAACGGAGTCTCATCTGAGCGGTGAGATTCAATCCAACTCAACGAGTCCTAAGTCTCGCAAATCAGAAAGAATCCACCTCCTAACTTAGTGTGTAAGCTCGAAAGCTTCATCCTCACAAACCAAGTCAAATAAACCCAACGGTTAGAAAATAAAGCATAAATAAATAAAACAAGTAAAGACACAAACATGACAAACAAAATAGGCTTGGCTTGCTAGGACCGTCCCCAGCAGAGTCGCCAGCTGTCGCTACTCGAAAAATGCATCGCGCAACGACGGGGAGGCAAAAAAGATAGACAGAAGAGTCGCCACCGAACTTTATTTATCCCATGAGGGGAAAGGAAAATATCGAGAAAACCTTAGGAAAGAAATGGATAAGATGGTCTCACGACCAAGAACGGGTTCGGAAGCCGGTTATGCAAGGGGAAGGTATTAGCATCCCTCACATCCATCGTACTCGATGGGAACCTTTTGTTTGTCGACGTGTGATTATATTTGCTAAAATATTATGCTATAAAAGTGTTCTAAAAGATAGAGAGAAGGGTTTAGAAACGGGGAAAGAGAGGTAACGGGGGGAAGAAGAGAGAGAACAGACTCGGTAGGACTTCGCGGTCCTAGGCCTACGTATTCTCAATAGATGTGAGAAAGTCAGAGTCGACGTAGTTCGGGAACTACGGATATATGGGGGAATATGCTCGGCAAGGATTGTGGCCCTTGTGCCTACGTATCTTTACTTGAGAAAGTAAAGAATCAGAGCAGCCGTAGTTCGGCCTACGGTGTGTTGATGTTTTTTATGGATGATGCTATCGTGCGCATTCTAGCAGTTAGGTGTTTTGCTGCTCGCTCGTTGGAGACTTAGGCGTTACCTGTTTGCGGTAGAACGGACGTATCATATCCTTTTGAAAGATTGATTAGTTTTCGCCACGCGGGGCAAGAAGTCACGTTTGATTGATTGGATTGTTTTTTTAGGGGCGAGACAGGTCCTCGGATAGTAACCCCTACGGGTAGTACCCAATTCTTTATCTCAAAATTTTTGTTACAAAATGTGTGGCGAACAAGGCGTCTTTGTATTGAAGGACGAGCGTCGAAACCACCCTCACTACAGTGGGCATCCCAACGCTCGGAGAAGAAGAAGACTACACTTAATCCTCTCTCTTTAATTCAACGCAAAGAGATTTTCATTCTCTTTATTAAAGTGTTTTTGGTTTTGAACGGTAAGTACTTTGGCGACAGAGAACCCTACGGTAAACGTCAGTACTCGGGATAGGAGAAGGCCTACGCCTAACCACTCCACGACCGTTCAAACTTTATTGTAAAAAGAAGTTTGAAAGTGCACTCGGTACGGGACCGAGGTTTTAGGTGTGAAGGGTTACGGAATGAAGTTGTGAAAGTGAGAGGTTGCGTCTTCGTATTGAAAGACGAGTGTCGAGACCACCCTCACTACAGTGGGAATCCCAACACTCGGAGAGGAAGAAGACTACACTTAATCCCCTCTCTTTAATTCAATACAAAGAATATTTGTTTTAAAGGCGGTTTGAACATGGACTCGGTACGGAACCGAGGTTTTTAGGAGAGAAAAGTTTAGAATCGTCTTCGTATTGAAAGACGAGTGTCGAGATCACTCTCACTACAGTGGGCATCCCAACACTCGAAGAAGAAGAGGTCTACACCCAATCCTCTATTTTTAATTCAATACAAAGAATAATTTATTGAAAGGATTTTGAAGACACACTCGGTACGGGACCGAGGTTTTAGGAGGAAAAGCATCGAAAAGAAATGGTCTCGGATCCAACGTTATTTATCAACAGTTTGACTTAATAACGATTTACGGAGGTCTCGTCATCGACCCAAAATGCAAAAAAAATCCAATAATAAAAGCGAAATAAAATCTATCTCTAAAATACAAAATAAACTATAAAATCTAATAGAAAATGTTGTAAACTAATATAAAAACTATTATATAATAAAAAAAAAACATGGTATGAAAACTGTTTTCTAACTAATATAAAATAAAAATATATAAACATAATTAAAATAATATATACAAAATAATGTTTAAAAAAACAATAAGTATTTTAAAAAAAAACTAAATAATAGTGCATTTTTTAAATAATAAAAAAAAAGGAAAACACGGGCCGTGAGGCCCAGTTCATCAACACCCAACAGAAAATCAACACAACGCTGATCCAAAACAAGAAGAAAAAAAAACTTTTTCGATTCCCTCTCTCCTCTGCGTTCTCACCCTCTCCGTTCATCAACTTCAATCAACTTCCATTTTCTATCAAGAAAGATCCCTCTTCTTCACTTCCATTTGGGTTAACTCTGGTTTAATTCCATTTTGATTTTGTGATTAAGGGTTTGTTGAAGGTGAGTGACGAAGATGACTTTGAGTGAGGTTTTATGGAAATGGTTGTTCATGGAATCTGATGGGTTTTCGGTGGAGTTTAGGTTTGAAGTTTTAAGTTGAAGATTTACGGGTTTTGAGATAGGGTTTCTATGCTTGGGTTTGTAGGCGAGATGTTGGTGTTGCGGTTTCGTGGAGTTTGGATGTTGAATGCGAGATTGGGAGTTTGGGAATAGTGAGGTTGAGAGTTTTTGATGGATGGGGTTATGGGTTGGTGTTTGTTTAGACTCAATGCCAGGAAACGAGACAAACAGAAACAACACAGATTAAGACTATGAAGGTAGAGAGAGTGACAGAATACTTACAGAATAATGCCACCAGATTGTTGATACAGAACACAGGTGAGTCTCTTCTTCAATCTCCTTTTTTTTTTCCAGTTCTTTGTGAGTGAAAGCAGCTGTTTTTTTTTTGCAGTTAGGGTTTTTGCGTGGAGGCTATTTTAGGGTTTCTCTCTTTCAATTCGCCGCCGGTAATTGTTTTAGGTTTCTTTTTTTCTCCCCCCCCCAATTCGAATGAACAATGCTCATATATAAACTAATTAGTATTAGGGTTTTTCCTTGTGCAAAACTTCTGGGTGAAAAAGAAGCATGGTTTCAGAATGCCTTTTTGTCATTCCTTGTTTGTTAGCTCTTTTCTGGGAATGTTTGTCTTACTCATATTTTACTGCGAAAAGATACTATTTTACCATGGATTTTGAGTTTTTACTGTGTGAAAATAACCTCATTGTTAACTCTTGCTTTGTAACAGGTTTTGTCTCTTTCTAGTGTGTAATGAATGACTTAGAGTCACATTTTCCTGAACTCTGGTCAGCAGGTGGTGCCACTAGAATGCTTGGAGAGAATCCTTCTGCTGCCAAATCAATTGCTGGAGTTGTTTGTGCTAATATTCTAAAGGTTTCAAGTGATCAAAAGTTGCCCTTCTTTATCTGAAGTATTATGCAGTATACACAAACATATTGATCCTCTAGTGCATTCAAGTATGAGGCATCACTTTGGAATTTGAAAATGAGTCTTTCCTCCTCAAACCCTTCAAATAATTGAGAAAGAACTTGGCTTTGCTCTTACAGTCGATGGTTCATCTTCTGCATCTGCTACAACCAGAAATGACTCTCAGTCTCAACTTCACTTATTCAAGCCAAATTCCAAAGCAAAACCGAGAGCGAATAAATCTATGCCCTCAAACTGACATTCATACTTCACAATACACGAGCTGAACTTTGAAGGTAGAATCAGAGTTTTTTCACGTTTTCATTTTGAACTTGCTGTCGCTTGAATCTTGAAATTGATTGTTGCGTTTGAATGTAGTTTTGAATTTCGATTCGTTCTGTCTTATTCCGTGTCCTGCCGCTTCAATTTGAGCAAGCTTCAAGATGCTGGCTATGGTCTGTGGTTTTTTTTTTTTTGAGCTATTGTCTTTCCTCGTGCAGGTATTGTCATTGCGCAATCCTCATCATCCTGTAGAATTGGTGTAGATGTTGCTGTTGTGATGAGCTGGTTGAACTCATCTGAGCTGCTTTCTGTAACAATGTTGTAGCTGACATGTGAGGCGAAACTGCAGATGATGGTCGGTAAGATGGAAGTGTAGGACCATTTCTAGGGTTAGGGTTTTCATGAATGTTTAGATCTTGTTCTAATTCAACCCAAGATGGTACTTGAATTTCTGGCTTTAGAAAACTGAAATTTTGTTGCTCTTTCTTTAATGTGAATCCTTGTATTTCATGAGTTTGGAGATCGATCATGTTTTGAGAGTTTGGTTGATGAACTACAGTTCTTGAACTCTCTTCTGCTAATGCATCACAGAAGGCTCTGTGAGTTATGAAACTGTCCCTCCTCGTGAAAAGGGTTCCATAGTCACATCTATATTCTCTTGTACCACAGGTTTTGGAGTGAGCTTTCCAATCAGATTGAACAACATACTTCTTAGAGCACTTATCACATTTCCACCTTTTTTCTCACCGTGCTTTCTGCAGAAGTGCTTCTTGATACCAGTTAAATCTCCTAAGGCTCTTGATGGGTCATGGTGCACACAAGTTGGTTCTGGACATACATATACTTTCTTCCTTATTATCTCATTCCCCGTTCTCCGCTTCAACTTCTAAGGTAAATTGTGTCCCCTTTTATGAAGTTGAAGATTCTGATCTCTTTGAAATCCTTTGTTGCAGATCTCACATATGAATCGATTCGTTGCCATAAGTGTCTTTGGCGATAAAGCTATAACTTCAGCTTCCGGGTCTGGATTGCCGGGAAGGTTTCTTCTCTTCTTAGGTGGAGCATCATCATGAGTTTGAGTTTGTGATGGAGAAAGTATTGCTGAGGATAATTGGTGGTAGCGCTAGCTTCACCGGATGCCGAAGTTAAATTAGACATGTTTTTTTCTCAACACACAAAACCTTTGATCATGTTTTTTCTCTTATGTTTGAAGTTTCTTGAGTTCTAATAACAAAGCTTAAACCCTTAAACCCTCAAACCCTTGGAAACGGAATCGGAGAACAAAGCCGCATCAAAATTTTCAACAAATTTGTGAGTTTTCAAAGAGAATCCAAATCCCGCTCAATTCGAACCACAATTTCTCAGTGGTATATCAGATGGATCATTTTGCAGTAGCTGAAGAACAATTAGCTTCCCAGAGACTTAGGCAGAAACTTGAGGAAGTGAATGTAGCTGCTCAAACTCATCTTGCCCCTGTTCGAGACCATGTCAACTACACTCTTCAGAAAGCCTATTTTAAATGTGCATATGAGTGCTTTGATAGAAGCAGAAGGCAGGAGGAGATAACCCATTGTGTTGAAAATTGCAGTATTCCTCTTACTAACGTGCAACAAACGTTTGATAATGAAATGGCAAAGTTTCAGGAAAAGTTGAATAGATCTCTGATGGTTTGTCAAGATAAGTACGAGGGAGCTAAGCTCCAGCAGAAAACCGGAGCTATGAATGTCGTGGTTTCCTGTGCCGATGAAGCAATTCAAGACAGCATTAAGATGCTTCCTCTTCTTACTAACAAGTTGAAGTCTTCCTTTGGCATTCGCGACGCACCGGTTCTTCCTAGCAAAATTTTCTTTTCTCAACATTTATGAAAATTGGTGCTAGACATTATTTAACTATTTCTGGAACACAAAAGTTAGCATACTTTATTCCTGTAATTTTATTGGTGATGCATCTTGATCCACAGAAGACATTTAGAATTGTTATGCATACATAGATAATATTATGGTGTGGGAAACAAAGAAAAGAAAAAAAAAACTTTAACACAGACAGAACTATTTGGTAGTGACAGAATGAATAGAACAAATTAAAGAAAGCAAAACTGATATGAAACTCATGAATAGTCTTTGAAATAATTGTTCCAACAAATAAAACAAAATTGAAAAACACAAGAGATAGAAAGAGAGGGAGATGAGAGAGAGAGATGAGAAGAGGATACGCCGGTAAGGGATACGGAGACGACAGAGGGAGTTGGGAAGGAGAAAACTGAGTGTTTGATGATGGTGGTATTGAACGAAGCCGGTAGGGCAGGAGAAATGGGAAGAAGATCCCAATTTCAGAAATTTAAGGTTTGGGAATTGAAGAGAGGTTTAGATGCGGCTAGGGTTACCCTTCAGAATTTTCACTCAAGCAAACTTGAATAAGCCTTGTGAAATTTTATTGCCCGTAAGTCAACTTTGTTTCTCGGATAAATTGAAGTCTTGACACTACGAAACCAACGGCGAACCAATCTTTGAATCTTCCTCTCGTGTTGATAATAAATCTCTTATTTCAAACTAGACAAATGACCAATGGGCGCGTACACAAATCCTTAACTGAAAAGTGCATGTTCTACACAATAATCCGTCATGAAATGTATGATCTCAACTCAACTCGATAACCCTGGGCAAATCCTCGTCCCAACAAAGCTATGACCCATTGGATAAAAAAACCTCAATCAACACTGTTCTTACTTGACTTGATATCCTTAAACAGAGCCTGATTCGACTCAAATTAATCTCGTGATGAAAACAACATATATTTTTTGGTTTTTTTTTTTATATAACAATTGATGAATGGATATACCGATGCAAGTTATATATGGATAGGACAAATTCGGGGTATGACAGATGAAGGATATATACAGGGGTAGGGCAAACTTTAGGGTGCAACACACTCCAATACTTCTAGATTAGAAATAAACAGATCTAAGAAAAATGTCTTTATCTTCACTTCCATCAGCACTACATTCTAGCCTTAGTTTCTTGCCAAGAAACTTACTAGAATAAAGACAGATCCAACTATATCTCCTTTGATCTAGTGATTCACTCCTTGAATCAACAGAATTTTGCACAATCTCTGCTGATGGGATGTCTCCACATCTGGTTGAATATCAGATCCTTGAAGTAGACCAAACAAATCAGGGACCTGACACTTGTGCAACAACTGATGAGACAACTTGATCATCAACTAAGGATAATCCATTAAATATTTGAGAATATCTCAAATAGCAACGAATCTTAAATCCTTATAATAAATCCTTCTATGAACTTCATGGATAACTAATTAAATACGTGTGTAGTCCAAAAATAGCAACTGATCTTAAATCCACACAACTTGTCAAGAAGACCATCTGATAGATATTTACACTTCAGTAATACTAGAAGTATTCTTTAGTATAAGTATCTCTAATGTTGAAACATCAAGGCTGACACCCTTGACTCAACCTGCCTATGACTTCCTCTGCTGATAGAACCCTTGTAAGTCATGAGTGGTGAAAATAAATCACCTCCCACTATTTTCTCTAAAGCAGTCTTCAGCAACCTGTAATACACAACAGAATAGTCCAAGCACACAAGCAACGGCCCAGGCACACAAACAACACATCTACAACATTCAGCAACCTGTAGAATAAAAACAGTAACAACCCAAACAAAAACAGCATCCAGCAGGATCAACATCTTGTCAGACCAACCAGAGCAGCAACCAACACCATTTTCCAACCATCTACACTCCTGCCACAACCATGCATCAAACTGTATATAGGCCAATCTTCTCCCAAGGCTACCAAAGTTCTTTCCTCAGAAAAATATGCAGCGGAACCACCAAAAGAACAACTTCAACATGCCTTAAACAAGATGACAAAACATCTTATAGGACATCATACAAAAGTAGTCATTCCTCCTTTGGCAAAACATTCAACAGGTCACAGAAGCTCCTATATCAGAGGGCATAATAACAGATACAAAGAATCCTTCAAAATCAAGAGTAAACATAAACTCCCCCTAAACTCCATAAGCAGCAGCTCAAACATTTAGCAAGATCAGCAAATCAGCTGCCACTTCTCCTTGTTCAAAACACCAGAAAGTATGTCCCAGGATCTCATCCAAAACAGACAGGATGCCTGCTCTGATACCAATTGAAATTCTGGTATTCAGATCTCAGATGTCCTAAGAGATGCTAAGAACATTGATCTCTGCTAAAACAAAACAAGGACAGAACATGACCATTTTAAATCCCTTTAAAAATTAACAGTGTCATGACATCTCTTGTAACATCTGCAGACTGACATAACTATTTATCTAACCATTTAAATTGTGCAGAGTTGTAAATGCTGAAAGATAAATAACACAATGAATTGTTAACCCAGTTCGGTGCAACATCACCTATATTTGGGGGCTACCAAGCCATAAAGGAAATCCACTATTAGCATAATTAGTTCAGAGCTAAACTCCCAGTTTACAACTCCTCACTTAATCTCTACCCAATGTAATTTCTGCCTAGAACCCACTAGACAAGAGACACCTCTCACTCCCCACAATCACAACAGTGATAACAATTCAATACAAAAAGAAAGACTTTAGAAGACACTCTTCAAAGTCACAATACTTGATTTTGCTTAACAACTTCAATCAAGAACAATACACTCTTGCTTAAAAGCTTTGAGTGAACAATCAACAATTAACAAATAACAGCCTAAATATGTCTACCACAATGCATCCAAAGATACAAAAGGTGACTTACAAAGTCACACACACAAGACTCTCAAAACCCTAAAACCTTATTTTACACTCAAGTTTTTCTTGTTGTGAGTGCTTAATTTTCCTTGCTTCTGCGCCTCCTTAAATAGTAATGCAGTCTGGGATTGGGTTGTGCAAAAGTAACATAAATTAGGTTTAACCAAGTTAAAACCAATCTTCACTATTCAATATGCTAACAAATAGGTCATAGGCGTTTCCTTGGAAAGTCTCCTAAAATATAGCCTGAGATAACTAAGGAACCATAACAGGTTTCCTAGAATATAACCTGAGATAATTCAGAAACCATAACAAAAAAACAAATAGCACCTTAACTGGCAGCTCCCTGATGTCACAACATTCACCTTGACATCCATTAAACTTTGTACTAGCTAACCAAACTTACCCTGTAGTACACTACACAAGTATGTCATGACATTAGTCAAGACATATACACACACAAAAATGTTTTACCACAAAATGCAGTCAATCAAGAACATCTACAAACTCCCCATTTGGAAATTTTTTGGCTAAAACAATCTGTCACCATATCAGAGAACACATGCAGCAGAAAAATTAACACACAGCCAATCATGCAGAATAGCTAAGACCCTACCAATCAACTAAGCCTGTTGTACTAATATCACACACAACCATACTTAATGATCTGGATTATGAATATCCAGACATCTAGGTTCACATCCTGCAAAGCACTTGTTCCACAGCACAATAAACCACCTGCTAAGTTTGACTACAGATGCCACACCATTTTCAGAGAACACATCCTGTGTTTCTCCCTCTCAACTGATGCACAACAAGCCGAACACAACCTACCAGCAACTAACAGAAACACACACATCCAAGCACAAGCAATGACTAGGTTTCCTACTAAGTTCCAACAAGAAACACAACTAACATCTAGCAGGATCAATAGCCTGCACATCAGTACACCTGCAAAATAACTCAGAGCAACAACATATCTCATCTTCCACCTGTGAGGGACATACAACTAAACTGTATTACTTCTCTCCCTTTTAGCCACAAATTTAGATCATAACTAATGAATTAGCATTGATCAAAATAAGGTCAGAAACACATATGGTAGAGAAATATTACAACACATCAACACATAATAGTTGTTCACAAAATGTTTGTTATGGGGTTACATACTGCTCCCCCTGTGTGGCAAACAAAACTAAGAACTCTAGTTATCAGACTCAGAGCTAGCACCATCACTATCCTTTTCTTTATCAGTGTCATTCTCAGAACTGGCAGTTGCTTCTTCTGACTCAGCTTCATGGTCATCACCTTCCATACTGAACCCACTCAAACACAGTAAAATCAATCATGATTCCAGCCCATCATGTATGACATCAACTCCTTTACCACTTACTATGGTTCTTTAAGACACTAACCACAAGACTTATTATTTCCATAGTAGTCCATATATAGGATACACATGAAGGTCTCTGAAGGACATAACAGCAGCAACTTAACAGATCATCACAAGTACTAGAAAATCATAGAAAGAAATAAACTCTCATGTAGCTTCCTCAGAGACATAATGTTCAGACCTCCTGTCTGATATTACAAAAACATTTCTTAGGCACCTTTAAGAAATAATTCCTTCATCAAACATACAGACTACAAGCACCAAATCATGGACAACAACTAATTCTCCTTTTACCCTTTTCCACAGATCCATAAAAAAAACTGATTCTTCACCAAGACCATCATACACCATGCTTTATCATGATGAGAAATAACCTCCACAGTAACACTATGAACATAGCCATTGAATCCTGAGTTCTTGCCTTGTTTGAAGCTGCACCTTCAGGAGTGACACTTTTGACATCACCAATTAAAGGATAATCAATTAAATACTTGCCAAGTAATAATTGATTTTAAATCCTTAATTTGAGACACACAAATATTTTGCAGAGAAAAATAAATTCTCCCAGACAATAACTAATGTTGTTTCCTAGGTCATTCATAAGGAGTAAGCACAGACCTAGTTCAAACCAACAATCTCACAAAGCCAGACCCATAATCACCTTGTCAAGGTAAAAGGGTACACCATACAGCATAATGTCAAG